TATTTTAAAATCTATTCACCAGTTAACCAAAATCAACAATCACCCATGCATCTAAAAAACCCCATATCATTTGTGACCAAACAAATTTACTTCCATCTAATTTGCCACCATAAATCCAACCATATATGTTATACAAAATTGTCAGTATTTATACAATCCAAACCACAAGCAAAGCATACACACCAAAAATAATTTCCACCGTACTACTACAAACCAAAAGTGGCAAATTCAACAAATTAATGGTAGGAGCTATTGCACTTTTCTGTCTAATGACGAAAATAGTAATTCATAACTATTTATAAATTTATGAGAATCACAACCATTTATATATTTATTTTACTTCAAACCTCGCAAGCAACATTAGTTTGGATAACTTCAATTCTAACAATGTGCTATAATTATAAAAGGAAACAATGGAAGATGTATTTACATTTCAAAGCACTTCCAGCAATGAATGAATCAACCATCACCTTACATGCAACTATTCCTGGTCCTGGGGCTACTGGAAAGTTCATTGCTGGTTAAGCAAGTAACAACTAGAGGAACTAACTAACCATATTCGGCTCCAGCCAATCAATGCTTGACAGATTCCTCATCTTCATCTTCAATATCCCAGCTCAGATCCTCCTCCTCATCGGCAGAACCCAACCGCTTCCTCAAATCAACTCGACTTGTGGCTGCTGCATTCCCGGCCCCTGCAGCCTTCTCATCATTGCTTCCAATATCTTCAATCTCATCCCAACCCAAATCCTCAACCTCCGGTACAAAAGACTGCTGGCTCGACACAACTGAAACATCACTGTCCTTGCAGGACTCTCCACCACCGCCATTACTGCCATCCGCCTTCTCCACCTTCGTATCGCTGTATTGATCGTCCCCGAATCCACCCCCAAACTTAGTCCCTTCACTAACATCTTCATTCCCACCTTTCTGAAAGTTCTCTGTTTGCTCTACATCAGTACCACCTCCATCATTCAGCTGAGACTGAGAGCCCTTTCTTTGATCATCAATATCAGCAGCAGTATCATTATTTTCTACATCATCGTCGAAATCCCAACTTAAATCCTCTTCTTCCACAGATATCACCCGCTTAACAATCTTAGCTCTAGCCTCCTCTGCTTCCTTCAGCTTTTGCGCTCTGTAGAAATACCTGCTCCAGAACGTCTCAATGTTCACCTTACTAGGCATAACCTCATCATAAATCTCCCTAACAACTTCATTCTCAGTCAGAAGTTTCTCAATCTCGTCCCTTTTCTCCTCCACAACGGAGCTCCGCAACCCTAATCTCCAACCATCATACCCCTCCTTATCCTCCGGTTCTCCACAGTAGGTATTCAAGTTGCTCTGCAGAGCAAGCAATTGTGCATCGTATCTACTATAGGGTTTGAGCGGCAGAGACGATCCCCGCCCCCCGCCGCCGTTATTAGAGGAATCGGAATCATGATCGTTATAATCAGGGGAAGAAGCGTTAGAGAGATCTCTACCGTGGGAGATGATCTGGGCCGTGGATTTCCACACGGTTGCGCCGATGTCGTCGATCGCCTGGCCGACGGTCTCGAGCGATTCCTGAGCGGCGGATGCGCTGGCTTCCAGGGAAGCCGGGAGGTCCTTGACGGCGCGAGAGGCGACGTCTCGGATCGCGGCGGTCTCTTTCTTCAAGCCCGATCCGAGCTCCTCCAGGTCGCGCCGGTAGGTCTCGATGACGGACTCGGATTTGGTGGCTAGCTTTCGGATCATGAGGCCGAAGGTCCATGGATCGAGATTGGCGGTGGTGGTGGTTGGGGGCGGCGGAATGGATTCCGGATCCGAGTTGGAATCCGAAGCTGCAGTTTCAGGCTCGGAAGCCGACGTTGGAGAGGCCGGCGGCGTTAGGTCGTCGGAGAAGACGGTTCGGAAGAAATTCATCGCGTGAATTTGGGACGAGGGGGAAAGGGAAAGAGAAGCAAAGGATGAGAGAGAAGGAATGAGAAGATAAACGGATTAACGTAGGGATTTAGGATTATTTGGCGGCGGTGAAGTAACGTAAAAAGCTAATTATCCAAAATGGCTATATTAGTTTTGATATTTACAAAATGGTCAGCTAGCTTTTATCTTTCACAAACACAGGGGTAAATGGAGGGGGTGCAAGTTTTTGGGGGTAAATGGGAATCCCAAAAAATTTGTACCTGTTTGGATAATAATCAACAGTAGGTGGGGGTGCATCAAAGGGGTAAAGACACTGTTTTACTTAACCCCCAATTTGGGGCGGAAGGAAGGGAAGCAAAAAATGATTTGCTTTTACAATTTTTTTCTCCTCTCCACTTTTATTTTCTACGGTTCTTCTTTTCTATTTTACTTTGTTCACTTCTATCTCTCTCCCGCCATTCATTGCGAAAGACCAACCCATCCCACCCAAACAAATTCTAAATATATATTATTTATATATTTAATTTTACAATAATTATTTTTTATATATTTATAACTGTTAAACATAACATTCGGTTAGAGACGAAGTAAAATATCCGTACGTATTTTATACACAACTTTCGCGTACCGTATTTTACTACCTATGTATAATACAACATTAATATTATATTTACTCTTTAATATTATTATATTTACTCTTTATATATAAAACTCTTTCTTACATCATTTTGCACCCCCCTACTTTTTCATCCAAACAACAAATTTACCCCTCCACTTGCACCCCCAGCGATTTGTACCCCCAGCAATTTGCACCTCAACTTGCACCCTCCTGCAATTTGCACCCCCTTTGTTGCCAAACAGAGCGAAAATGAAAGGACAACTTTAGAAGTTGGCACAAAATGGTTACATCCAAAAAAAATTTCCAATAGGAATGATAAGTTTTTTTTGGTGCGAATGATAAGTTGCTTAGGTTGAATTTCATGTATTCTTTTCTTATTTTGACAAGATGAAGTTGCATTGGATGCTGCCATCCGATGATAAGCCGTCTTTATTGTTTGATTCATTTGACACTAGCTTATAACTCGGTTCATTGGCCGGAATATTCTTATTACATTATTTATATTTTATATTACGTTTAAGCTAATTAACCGGTTTAATTTTATTGACATTCCTTATCGAGATGATACATAAAAAAAGAATATAAAAGTATAACATTCGGAAAAATACCATCATCATTTAAGAATATAAAATGTATCATTAATTCCATTTTCATAATGATATTTAAGCCCTCATTAAAATGCTATTGGTTAGTTGATTGTCACGAAAGAGGTGATAAAGCTAAGTGAATTCCACACGACCCGTAGATAGTTTGAAACTAAATCTTAAACCTCACAATCCTATATAAGGGTTTAATGCACTCTTTTTATGAATAATATGTCACTAATCAAAAAGAAATGGAGAGTTGTTGATTCAAGTCAACTATATACTAACAACTCAGCTAAGAGTGGACCATCAAAATTTGAGAGCAAACGACAAAATTAGGGTTATCTCCAACATACTAATAATACACTCATTGTCTATCAGTTTCAGTAGGTTGAATAAAGAATCGACCTACTTGAATAAATCAATCAATGATTCCTTGTTTTAAGATAGAAATAGGTTGTGATAGATGTAAAAACCATAAATATAAAGATCCAATAGTCACCATTCTTCGTTTTACAACAAATTTTTTATCTCAAGAGACATATGTTTCAACCAAAAATTCAATTTCTAATCCTCCTTCTGCAACTCCATTATTTATTAAACTCTTTTATTTGCTCAACTTAAATCCCCAAAAATAAAACCGGCGTGCCAAGAGATACCAGATGATTGATTTTCAAAGGCGACCTTGTACTGGGAAGTGAAAGGGGCGCAAATTATTGTACGATGGAGGGAATTTTCGAGGAAGTTAGAAAGAGATAAAAAAAAGATAAAAACCACAAAATTTAAATTGAAAAATACAAGGACACAACACGTAGTGACAAAATTAGTTTTTTTTTGCCATGTTAGCCACTTACCAATTTACCTTTAGCAAAAAGGAGAGAGAAAGAATTTTAAAATTGGGAAAGTACATGAAACTCTACTATGAAAATTGAAATATCAAACACCATAAACATACATATGATATACTTATTGGGCTTGCTAATCATGATGGAAAGTCCTGCGATTTTCAAAGAGTTGAACTTTGTGTATATTTTGTATTAAAAAAGACACAACAAATTTGTTCAGTGTAAATGGTTGTGATTGTTGTCTTTGTTTGAAGAGATCCGGATTCAAATTCTGATGTTGATAATTTTTATGTGAGATAAATAATTAATTGTAAAGACAAAAATTTCTTTCTTACTTTCACTCTCGTTGCAGGAAATTTGAAATGGAGAAAACTTTTGTACTATATATTATTGGGAAATGAGCAACCAAGTGTTCCGAAGAATGAGTGCATCTTATCCGACTAAGAATGATAATGGCAACATTCATCGAATGAGGAATCGATGGTAGCTCTTTTCGATGGAGCACCCATACTCGTCAACAGGTATGGGAGCTTTTGAATAATGGGTATCAGTAGGACTGGCTATTTGGTCCGGACTTTTTAGTTTTATTCAAAACTGGATCAACAAACAATCCAATCACATCTTCGGGCTTAGATTTGAGGTAAAAACCGTTCGGGATCGAACCAAAAATCGAATAAAGATCGGATAAGAGAGCCCAACACCCAAAATTTAACCAACTTCTCACCCTTTTAGACCTTAGGCCACTCAAATCCCCACAAGCTCAATCTAAAATCAAGACCAAATTGAGACCGGACCGGTTCAAGATCAAATCGGATTAAGACCGAACTGTATCCAATCCAATCTTTGATCCTTATATTCTCGAAAATACCGGACCAAGACCGGATCAGTTCGGACCAATTTAACTGGACCAGACCGTATAGCCACTTCTAGGTATCGGTGTTTTGGATCAAGTTATCTCTCGTTGCTAGAGCCTCCTTTAACGAATGTTCGAGGCATACAACTCGAGTAATTGAAAGTGTAATTTGCAAGACACGGCCTTAATCGATAGACGAATACAGCAGGGGATAATGCATAGATAGTTGATAGTTGTCACAACGTTTAGATTGAAAAGGTAAAGATAGTAGTTTCTCGCTTTTAATACTGCAGACATGCTTACAAACATAGGGCGGGAGGCAGTAAAAGAATCAAGATGGCATTTTCTTTTCTCCTTCTATACTTAAAAAGCTATTTACTTGGCAAAGGGAAGAAAGAGTGCAGAATTGCAGATGGGCATGGCTCTCTCCAAAACCTCAAACACAGAAACAACTCTCTTTTGTCGAACAAAACACTGAAAGTTGCAGGGAATCTTCATGTAGTAATGATAATAATACGAAATCCAGGGCAATGACCGCGGAAACAAATAAGCAGCCCTATCCGTTAAGAAGATTAGGCACGCGAGACAGTCTTACGATTTCCTTGATGATCATTTCCTTTTCCTCTTCGAATTGCTCGTCCTCTGAACCTGTTGCAGTACCCCCAAGAGATTTTTTTACTAAACTCGACCAAGAAGGGACGAAACGGGATTTGCAGAGATTTAAGCAGGATTTTACCTTTCCCAACTGAGAGGTCTATGAGCAATTCCACCAGTTTTTCATGATTTCTGGCCAAGATCATTTTCACTTCTTGTGGCTTGTTTGGGTTAGCAACAAAGACCTACTTATAACACAGCAAGAGGAATTAGGAATCATACTACTTTGGATGGAGGTTAAGAATCGGGATTGTGAAAGCGGGGGAGTTGTAAATTATGGGGAAAAGAGAAGAGAATCTGTACCTTGAAAATGTGAAAAGCATAGATCTGTATGGTTTTACTCGAGTCCTGTCCAGACATTACATAATAGAAACAGATTAAAAAAGCACTTAAAGAAAGAAAAAAGCTAGACTGGCCTAATATATATACCGACATAACCCAGTTTATGTAGGGGCATTCGACATAAACTTCCAACACTCTAAGCTAGTCAGCACAAACATTATCACATCACTAGCTGCCAAGAGTCTCCACCAGGTAGGATTTGCAGAGCAAGGAGTGAGAAACAAAACATAACCTCTCAAGGATGGAAAGCTTGCCTCACTTATAGAAGTTTAAGAAAGGAGGGAAAACGGAGTCCAGGCTTACTCGGAATAACACTCATTGCGCAAATCTACTAATATCCAGTAAAAGTAGATCAATCAAACTCTCCACACCCAAAGGATATGCAAGCACAGCACTAGAATCACAAGTGGTTTCTCAAGCTACTAAGACATCACAGTGAAATATTCCCTTGAAAGGGTACCGTTTCTGTATGCTACTTGGAAGATAAGATGTATGGTGCATGCATGGGGTCCCATCATCTGCGGAGCACGTATTGCTCAGACAAGGACAAGTAATTACAAACAAAATGATGGAAACCATACCAAGAGAACCGAAGCCGATATGTCAAAACCAAAAGTCGAGCCAAAACCCTACTCATTACACAAAGCCAGTTCCTTGGACCCAATCGATTAAGGTAATCAAGAGAGATTGAGATTAAAGCATCTCATAGTTTTCCTGAATGGTCTTCTGACAAATTGGACTCTAGTTTCCTTGAGTTGAGATTAAAGTACGACCGTTTCCTTGAACGGCCTGCACTTCTATTTCTATCCAGGCTCTAATGAGCTTGCGAAATTTGACTTATTAAAGGATCGGGTGGTTTCAGTTTCTAACATAATCTCTGAATAACTGAGCACTAACCTAAGACATTCAATTGACTTTCTAATATGGAGGAGAAATAGACCTGGAATCATATTCTAGAAAGGACTAGCATGCAATACCTTAAGCAATGTCATCATCACTTTCAAGTAGTGAACTTCCAGAATAAAGCGCTTCATTATGCTGGAATTTGGAGGCTCAAAAAGGAACTCAGAGAGAAGCTAAATCCACAAAAGAGAAACAATTAGCTTAAACGCAAAACAAAATTAGCCACGTATATGTTTACTACTAAGTTTGGAGACTAACCTTCACTGATTGCCTTCTTGTCACATAATTAGGGGATGTGAGAAGTTTATCATACAGATCAAAGAACTGTAACAACAGAAACAAAAACAAATTTACCTTTCTTAGACAGGCAATGAAAAAGTACAAGTGTTACTTTTAAGAGAGATGAATTTTCGTCGCATTTTTATATGGCAAACGAAGATGCAAGACGTCAGCAAAAATGCCAAAAAACAATATTAACATGGTGGCACCAGGTGGGTATACAAGCAGTAGCATTTGCTTATGTTTGTCTAGGTAAATATCATGCATTTGAACATGCTCAAACATGTATATGTATCCATTCTCCCAGGTACAGTAGTATGCTGAGTACCACATTAGCAAGGAAGTGTCCCTAAGTCACAAAGGTCTATCCAACATAAGCATACAAATCATCTTTTACTCTATGTTTGTGCAAACATGTACCTACATCATGATCAGGTCAAGAATCTCTTGTAAAAGGAAACGATAATCAGATCAAAAGACTTAGGAAATATACCTCAGAATAGTGCGCAGTAAGATATTCTGCAACTATGGTATCATGTTTGCTTAACAAATCCTGATAAGCCATTGAAACAAATGTCGAGTGGGTATAACTGAAACTCAGAAAATGAACAGGTGAATGGACAAAATACATTTGGAAACTTTGGACTGACCTTGAAAGTAGAGAAGGCATCAGAAGCAACGTCAAAGTTAGGCAACTCCACAAATTTGAAGAACAACTCAAAGCAGGCTGAATCTAATATGTATCTGAAAGACCACTACAAAAGTTTGACAGTGTGAAAACATGAAACTTGACTGCAACGAAAAGCAAAGATAGAGCAACAGGCTTTGTTTTTCAAGTAACATCCAGATGTTACAATTATATCTGTCCGGTACAATATGTGTTCTGCTACGCATGCAAGGATATTGACAAGCAGTAACTTACGTACAACCAGTGGGGGAGCCAGAAAATCAAATTAGGTGTGTCCTTTTATATGCATATAAAAAAATTTTAAAACATATATTTCTAAAAGTTAATAACGCAGTAATTCAATAATGGGAAAAATAACCAATTGATACAGGTTTTATTTTGTGTCAACAACTATGACATGTTTTCCATTTTCAATCATGAAAAAATTGTAAAAGACTTTCATTATTTCTACTCTCAAGTAAATATCTTTCAATATATTCCACTAAGTTTATTTTATTTTCTATAACCTTCCCATATTAATGTAAAAGGTCTAATATTCAGAACTCATATATAGAGCCATTGGGGATTAATAATTTTTCTCCAAAATTTAGCAAATGGGCTAGAGTACAACTCTCCTTACTTGTAGCCAATCACAAAGGATGTACCTAGTGTACTGATGAAGCTAACCTTAACATCTCATAACCAAAACCGTGATATATATTTTTTCCAACGATACAGCTACATTGCTACAGTTCCTATAGCAAGTTTCTGAAACAGCATTACACACCAAAATAAATACAGCTGCTTCTGATAACAATACTAGGATTAGCAAAAGCTGCAAAAGAAAAAGAGTTTGGATGTCTTACTTTGCCAGCGTTGGAAATTTGATGCATTCCCTTAACATTTGTCCACAATTCAAGGCAATGTCTTTGCTATCATAGCTGATGAAAAGAGATGAGAATAAGTTCCGAGTGCTAACACTGGGTTTGATAAGTGCCTCAAATTAAAGATCTCGAGCAACAATGAGAGGCTATTCCACTGTTCCCCCCCCCCCCCCCCCCCCCCCCCATAATACTGGTATTAAGTAGCCGAACACATTATTCAGCATTTTCAGGTAATACAGATGCCTAGACAACTAAAGCACAGATCCTCGTGCATTTTAATCTCATTCACAGCCAACATTCATTATAAACTTCTAACCCAGGTGGAAATATTATCACATTGGTAGCAAACCACTCTCTTTTTCAATTTGTTGCACACCATTTTCCAACATCTGTTCATTTTATAACCCCCATCATGAATCTGAAAGACAATATCAAGATGGAAAGAGATGCACAATCTTACCTTACAACAAGAAAATCTAGTAACTCCAAATGATTCTCAATATATTCTACGCAGCAATGTGTCGACTCAACCTTGTGCTTCAACAATATTGACCAACAGTGGACTAAATCCTTTCTTGCCTATGTCAAAGCAAAGTGAGAATCAACAAGAAATCAATATGACGAATGCAAGCCAGAACAAGAAACCACCATGGATGTCTATACTTACAGCCCATCCTAAATTGAGTAACTCGTGAACCATAAGTGTAAGCACATCCTCCTTGCAAATCTCAATGACTAGCTGTGAAACTTGTTCCATGTTTGGTTCAACCTCTCCATCTCCCTGGAGCATATATTTCAGAGACACAAAATTCTTCTCAACTTCTTCTGATGCCTGTCATATGTCAAAAGACATCCGAAATGAATGCACAACTACTAATCCGAGAAATACCGGATCATCAACAAGATATCTCAACCGAATTACTCTCTAAAGTCCCAGAATTCCCACCAGCACACTCTTATACCACCGCCCCTTCCCTCTTTCCCAACACAGTTTAGATTCCCGCAAGAGCCTCCAAATTCTGAAACCAACCACACTAACATGTCCTTATGCAGAATTCCCTTTCCCTCAAAACTCTCCATCAGCAATATCAATTACTATAACAACACTTAGCCAGCACCTACATCATCACAAAACCGGACAAACAGCAAAGTCCTCTAGGCTCCAACAAAAAGGTCACTTTTCTCAAGTACAAAAACCTCATGAATCAAGTTCAAAATTTAACAGAAATTGGCAGCCAAAAAGCGCCCAAATCGTCATTCGCCACATCAATCGAACTCGAGCTAAAAGGAAACCTGAGAATGGCATGAAATCGGCGAAATTCCAGAAGAGCTCAAAATTGAGAGGAAATTGAGCATAGGATCGATTTACCTTTTCGAGGGCTTTAACATCGACGACCGTTTTGGTATCGAGGGCGTTAAGGCTATCCTTGATCGCTCTCACCACCTCCTGCGGCGTCTTGGGCCGCGACGGCTTGAAGAAGGAAAAAGACATGACGATCGATCAAAAAGCGGGGGGAGAAGAGCGCTGCGATAGAAAGAGTGACTTCACTTCTGCGTATGTCGCTGGACGAAACCCGTAGCTGTGGCGATGGAATTGGCTCTCCTGGAAACAACCAGAATCTGACGGAGAGTAGAAATCGCCGGTCGAAACTCTTCTGTTCTCCTTTAATCGAGCGCGGAAGAAGAAGACATGCAAGTGCCTTCCTACGGCATATTTTTTCAACAGCTTTTGAATATTTTCTTTAATGTTTTAGTCAGTGGCTGGCTGGCTCACCAACTCCATGGAAAATAATTTATTTCCCACTTCAACTGCAAAATATTAAATAACTTTGTATTTTTATTTCTTTTGGAGATAAATTATATTTTTAGTTAGTTGAGTTAACAAAATTCATAATACTCAATGAATTCATAGGAACAGTACAGATGATTTGTGTGGTTAAAAAACGAGAGTATTTTTCAAATTTGTAGGTTGTATGGATCTATGTTGTAATTTTGTATTGCTCAGTCATGTTTAATTGGAAAAAAAATACAAAACTATCACCGCTAAAAAAAAATTACAAACATACCACCCAAACTGAAAAAATTTCAAATCTACCACCATTTAACCAAAACCGCATGGGAAAGCGGCGGTTCAAAGGAGAACCGCGCGTTGAAGGTGCGGTTTGGCTTCGGGCATCGAACAAACCGCAGCGGCACGTGGCGGTCCTGCAAACCGTAGGATGAGAGGGCGATCCGACGGTAGACCGCGTGCCAGCTCAACGGTCCGCGTCTCGTCGCGGTAACTGCCTCTCCAACGCGCGGTTTGCGCTTTGGAAAACTGAAATCGTGGGCTGGGGGCAGTTTTCTCAAGTGTAAATTGACAAAATCGCCCCTCGTCCAGGCGGCCTGAACACTATAAATACTCCCTCCTCCTCATTTCTTCACACCAAAACCCATTCTTCTCTCTCTCTCTAAATTTAGCTCTCTATCCATCCATAGCTTTCGGTATTTTCTCCCTCAATAATGGCAAAGGCTAGAGGAAAGACACCTCTGTTTGCATCTGCTCCACTGGCAATGAATAGTGTTTGTTACCGGGCTCCGCCGGCTGAATTTCTTCATCTTGGTAGCGGGGGGAGAAAACAGTGTCAGGGTTAGACGCCTCCAATGCCAAACTCAATCTGAGGAGGAATGCATATGATTCTTCCCAGTCACCAAACACAGCAGACATTGCTTTCTGCTTTTCATGCCACGCCTTTTTATAGCTAATAATATATCCATAACGACTAGAAATATCACCGATGATGGCTTTCACCGTCAGGTCGGACAGTTCCTCAATTAGATGCTTGATAGTCGCGGCAACCACTCTGGATTTCAACTGTCGATGGCCTTGGGATGTTATGGATGACGCACATGTGTGAGTGTTCACCACACGGGATATGACCCAATGGCCAACTCTCTTGCTCTTGATGGCCCTAACCTTGCATCCCTCGTGTTGATTCATGCATCTAACTATGAGCCTCCTCAAGTCGGAATGTGTAGTGTGTCATTCGAAACTCCGAGTCATTGCTTTTGTGCCAATAGTGTGCCGCACCTCATTTTTCGTACCGAATTGTTGGCCCTTTGTAAACCCAGTATACTGACACCTCTGGCGACTCCACGTCGGCATCAACATACCAATTTTCATTTGGAATGTGATTGCAGTACGAGATAGGTACACGATTGCGGGACACATCATTATCATCTGCGTCTGAATCTGGGCCTGAATCATCAATGCCTTCAAGAGGGTCGAAGCTCTCTGCACTGACATCACATTCCTCCTCCACATCCTCAGGGTCACTAACTAGACATGGCAGGACATCTTCCAACTGATCTAGATCATGAGAGGCACCTTCAATATCTCTGTAATGGTAATTGTGATAACTATTGCTGCCTTGGTGGAAGTTGTACTCGATTTGGTACTAGTAGCATTCTTGTTGGTTGAAGTTGTAGTCGGGTTGGTACTGGTAGCCTTCTTGCTGGTTGTCATGGTACCTTTGGGCTTCTTCTTCATATGATTGGAAGGATTGATGATGACCTCCACCTCCTTCTTAGTACTCATGGTAGGTACGAGGATCATGGTAACCTTGGTAGGGATGATCTTCGTGTAATCCACCTCCACCGTGGATATCAGATGTTTGGCCATCTCCAAAATGACCTCCACCGCTCTCGATCGCATCGGTGTAAACGAACGTCTCTGCTTGTGTAATGTTATTGGCGATCAAAAATTCGACCATGGCATCAACGTCCTCCTGATTGGTTACGTGAAATTCCTCATACCACAATGACCCGCCATGTCTGTTTGGATATCGATACACCATACGATCAACTCTTTTTGTGCCATCCATGCAAGTAACCTAAGTACACATTTCACGGAGCTCTTCAAGGTTCAGTCTCGTAGCGGCCTTCACTTTATGAAAATTACCACCGACGTAACGTACCCCCTTTCCGGTCTCTTCCGTAGAACCAATCCACCGTAAGTCAAGCGTGAACTTTTGAAATGTCATCTGCAATAAAATTGTAACTAAATTAAATTAATACCATCAAAATCACAAATCATAATAAAAAGTAATAAAAAACAAACTTACGAACTAACGTTAATCGCAAAAATACAAAAAAATAAGGTGCACAACAGAAATTTGAAGAAGAATAAGGAGAGGAGTGAGGAGCTGATGTTCTCATAGCTGCCTTTTATAGGCAAAATTTTGAGTACAAACCGTTGGGGGAGAGGGCGGTTTTGGTCTGTCATGCAGCCACACGTTTACTGCATCCCTGCATGCATGCACATTTCAGATGTTGGGGAATGTAGATGACACACAAATGCTGAGGGAGGGGGCGGTTTGTGCCTCGACAGTAAAAACTGCATTCTGAAGGAGCGGTTTTAGTTGTCGACGTATAACTGCTCCTTCAAGAGGCGGTTTGCTGAAAAGCAGCCAATGAACCAACCGCCTTTCCAGGGTGCGTTTTATTCAAAAAAGTTAAAAAGCCTCTTCCAAACGCGGTTCATACACAAACAGCAACCTGACCTAGGGTTTTTATGCAAACCGTCTTTTTGGGTGGCGGTTTTCTAATAATGGTGATAGATTTAGAATTTTTTCGGTTTGGGTGGTATATTTGTAAAAAAAATTAAACGGTTGTAGTTTTGGATTTTTTCCTGTTTAATTGATATTGAACCCACCGAGCAAAGAAGGACCACCGAGCAAACTCGGGTAAAGAAGGACCACCAAGCAAGGAAGACAAACAGATGGATATTGAACCCAATCCACAAAAGGAGAACAAAGAGCATGTACCAATGGAGACAGACAAGGACGCTAAGAAGCAGACAAAGGAAGAAAATGTTGATGTACATAAAACCAATCAACAAAACTAGGAGGATCACACAGAAGACCTTCCACTTGGAAATTCAAGACCCAATGCAGTTACTAAAGAGGGAGTCGTGAGGCAGTTTAAGGAATGCAAAAGATAAGAGTAGCACTACAAAAAGCCAGCAGGTAATGTATGAAAACGACAAGAACATGGACGTGCTAGAGAACCTACACAAGTGCAGCTTACTCCTTAGAAGCGTACCATAGACAGCTGGTGTAGTGGAGACAAAAAATCAGAACAACTGGTGTAGTGGAGACAAAAATATGAAAAAGGCTAAAACCCTTATTTTCCAAGAAACAGAGGCAACATAGAAGTTGAAGCAATCACAGAACATTGATGGCGAAGAGGCGCACCTTGCACGCATGCAAGGCCGCCCAGCTCAATGAGTCTATTGAGTTACAACTGTCGGGGACTTGGGAATACCCCGACAGTTGAAAAGGTGAAGAAAATTAAGGAATTTGGTTATTTTGATGGATGAGGGGTAGATGCAGGGGAAAACAGAGCGGGAGGGCTTCTGATGATGTGGAAAGAAGATGTTCAGATTGAGGTAAAGAATGCGACCTCAAATTTCATTGATGTTAGGATAAGGATGCCGTCCTTGGACAAATACTGGCGCCTAACAGGTTTATATGGATGGCCCGAAGGAAAGAATAAACATAAAACATGTGAGCTGTTGATTAGTTTACATAATCAGGTCTAATTGCCATGGCTAGTTATGGGACATTTCAGTCTCATAACTGATTATTTGGGAAAAAGTGGGAGTCAAGACCCTTATGTAAAGGAAATGGATATGTTTAGACAGGCTCTAGATATCTGTGAATTGGAGGATTGTTGATATTATGATAGAACCTTTACTTGGGAGAATAATAATCAGGGGATGACTATACAAAGGAACGCCTCGATAGGGCAGTTGGAAACAGAAAGTGGATGGATTGCTTTCCTCACATGAGAGTCAACCACCTGGAGAGATGTGGCTCTAATCATATACCCATACAGATAAAGCTGAATTTGGAGGAAGAAGAGATTACTTGGGGATGGAGCTTAAGATATGAACCATATTGGGAAAAACATAAAGATAGTAGCAAAATAATACAAGATGGGTGGCTGGCACATCCAAGTCTTGGAATAATAGATCGGATAAAAAATTGTGAAAATAGCCTTAGAAATTGGAGCCAATAAGCTTTCGGCTCTTAAAAGAAAGGCGAAAACGTGTTGAGAAAGCTTTGAAAGTCCTTGAAAAAAAACCAAGGTGATTCAGATCGAAAGAAGAGTTCTTGAAAAGGAACTCAATGATATTATCCTACAGGAGGAGATAAAGTGGAAGCAACGTTCTCGAACAGATTGGCTGAAAGAGGGCGACTGCAACACAAGGTATTTTCATCGCAAGGCCTCGGAAAGAAGAAGAAAAAACACGATCAGAAAGCTGCAGAATGAGGCGGGTAGAATCTTTGTGGGAAAGCAGGAGGTTTCTCACTGTTTGAGGCAGTATATGTTAACTCTATTCAAGGCAGGAGAGAGACCAGACTAGAGTAGGATACTATAAGCAGTGACTCCTAGGTAACGACTGAGATGAATCAAGAGCTTCTAAAGCCCTATACAGATGAGGAAATTTGGCTAGCACTAAAGCAGATGGGGCCAAACAAGCTACCTGGTGCAGATGGTATGTCAACTCGCTTCTTTCAAAAAAATTGGAGTGTGGTTGGTCCAACTATTAAAGAAGAAATTAAGAGTTACTTAGAGTGTGGTGAGTTTCCCCAGCAGATTAATCACATTCTAATAACTCTGATTCCCAAAAAGAAGAAGCCAGAAACTCCTGTAGATTTCAGGCCAATCAGTCTATGCTAGGGGTGGGCATTCGGTCGGTTCGGTTCAAACCGAACCGAAATTATGCATACCGGGTCCCCGAATTCTATCAAACCTCAAACCAAATTCGAAC